GGAGGGAAGAATTTACAGTGGAGAAAAGACAGCCTCTTCAATAAGTGCTGCGGAACGAAATTAGAACACTCCCTAACACCATACACAAAAAATGAACTCAAAATGGGTTAAAGAGCTAAATGTAAGGCCAGACACTTTAAAACTCTTAGAGGAAAACATTGGCAGAACACTCTATGACATCAATCACAGCAAGATCCTTTTTGACCCACCTCCTAGAGAAATGGAAATAAAACCAAAAATAAACAAATGGGATCTAATGAAACTTAAAATCTTTTGCACAGCAAAGGAAACCATAAACAAGATGAAAAGACAACCCTCAGAATGGGAGAAAAGGTTTGCAAATGAAGCTACTGACAAAAGATTAATCTCCAAAATATACAAGCAGCTCATGCAGCTCAACATGAGGGTAAGGGTAAGCTGGGATGGAGTGAGAGTGGCACTGACATATATACACTACCAAATGTAAAATACATAGCTAGTGGGAAGCAGCTGCATCTCACAGGGAGATCAGCTCAGTGCTTTGTGACCACCTAGACGGTTGGGATAGGGAGGGTGGGAGGGAGGCACAAGAGGGAGGGGATATGGGGATATATGTATACATATAGCTGATTCACTTTTTTATACATCAGAAACTAACACAACATTGTAAAGCAATTATACTCCAATAAAGATGTTAATAAAAAAAGTGGATATTTAAAATTCATAGATATAAGGATCACTTCCACTAGAAGTGTTGTGTTGTTATTCAAGGACATGCTTTATTTTTGATGTGACCTTATAGTGCAAACATTACCTCTGGACTAGAACGATTTCCTAAGGCAGACATGCATTCAGAAAAGACTGGCACATATGACGGTAATATGCTAGAATATCTATGGTGGTGGGGGGAATAGTGACAAAATCTCTTTGTAGGAAATGGGAAATTACAGGCTCAAGATTTTCAAGGTACATTGTAGTTTCTAATAACCTTCGTATTAAATCAAAGTGTAAAGGTTTTGTACCACAATCAGACTACGCAAAGTTCTGGAAATGCTCTTTGTGACAAAGTTGCTGCAAAAATACATAGAAAAACCAAATAAAAACACTTGAATTGATGTTTGTCATAACTCTTCCCCTCCTATTTGTCCCTGGTGGATTTGAAGACAAAGCCAGTGTTCTGGTTAAACAAAGAGATTGTTCTGGGCATAACAATGTGAAATAAAAGATTTTCTGTCTAATTCTTCCCATATGTTGGACAAACTAAGTTTATTGTTTAGAGTGCTTTGATGGAGCAGAAAAGTTAATGAAGTAAAAACAAGTAATGAATCCAGTAAATTCATTATAATCCTAAGTCTCCCACTGTCAGATGTTGGTATTAGTTGTTATTACATTGCCATTTCTCTAGGGTAGTATCTACAAATCATGTTTACATCTAACTAAAACAAGATTTTTTTCTAAAAAGAAAAATTTTTAAGGCTGCCATTTTTGAACACTTATTATCAGTTAAAAAATATGCTACTTGCTACGTAACAAGAATATATGTAACTTATATGTGAATTCTAACGTATAATTATATAATGGACAACAAAGAACTCTGCATTGAATTAAAAAATGCTACCAATGTTTTATATCTAAACTGGATGCTTGCTTCCTCTCTTCTCTTCACTCTGAGAATCAACACAGAGGTTTATCATTCTCTTGCCTTAAATTAAATAAAATATGTGTATGTAAGCCTAGATGATATAATATTATTTTTGCTTGTTTTGAGCTATAACATTTGTGTCATACTGGAAATAGCCTTCAGTTTCGTGCTTTTTTCATTTAATTATGTATGTAAGAGGCCATCTATGTTGTTACAAATTGTAGTGTTTCCATCTATACTATTTTATTATTCCATGTGGGAGCACACTACAATTTATTTATTTTCTTTTAGATGACCATTGGGTTTTTCTAATTTTACTTTATTACTATAAACATTGCTACTGTGAGCTTTTTGGAGCACGTGTGCAAGAGTTTCTCTAGTGTACGTGTAAAAATTTCTTTAGAAGTGGAAATTCTAGGTTATGGGCTATGCACATGTTCTGCCTTTACAAAGTAACGCCACACTGTTTTCCACAGTGATTGTTTCAACTTACCCTAGTCCTCATGTAAGTGTTACAGTTAACCCTTATCTTCTCTAACACTTGATATTGTCAGACGTCTCCATTTTTGCCATTCAAGTTGTCATAAGTAAAATGTTTTATTATAAATGTGAACATTCACAGACATTTTTAAACAAAAGGAGATAGTAATAAAATGGCAATCAAGGAAAAATTGATGTTGTTCATTCATTCAACAAGTATTTATTGCCTACTGCTATGAAAAACATGAGTATATAAAGGAAAAAATGCAAAAAAAATGTTCTCCCTTTAAGGAGATTACAGTATACATAAAACTGAAACATTCAAATAATAGTACAAGACAGTATTATTATCATTTTTCAGGTTTCCTTCTCCTCTCCCTTGATATTCTTTGTCTCTATGACTTAGGACTTCCCAAGAAAGAAACTTAAGTGGTTTCTACCTTCAAAATGACTTTGACTGTCTGTTCTGTTTTATTCCTGCCATTTATTCTATCAGCTTACACTCAGTCCATTGCCACAATCTTCTATTGAAGGATGATCCAGATCTGAATATGAGCAGAATGGAGAGTTGGATGAGTGAAGCTTTTCTACATGGTGAAAAGATGTGTAAGAAAGTAAAAGAAAACAAGGTGCAGGGCCTTAAATGGAGAATGAAAGAATTTGGACTTTATCCTGTAGACAGCAGGGAGCAGCTAAAGGATTAAATTTTTTTTTTCTTAGTTCCTGATTTACTCAGAAGGGATAAGAGATTTCCTTTTTTTTTTTTTTTTTTTGTGGTATGCGGACCTCTCACTGTTGTGACCTCTTCCGTTGCGGAGCACAGGCTCCAGACGCACAGGCCCAGCGGCCATGGCTCACGGGCCCAGCCACTCTGCGGCATGTGGGATCTTCCCGGACCGGGGCACGAACCCATGTTCCCTGCATTGGCAGGTGGACTCTCAACCACTGCGCCACCAGGGAAGCACTCTCCTAGTGTTTTTATAGAACCTTTTCCTAGAGAGCCAAAGACACAGAATCAATACCAACACCATTTTCTTATGGTAGGCTTATTGATTTAGGCTCATCTGCACTTACTCTCTATTAGCCAGATACTGTGCTTGGTGATGAGACACAGAGAACAACACATAAAATATGTGCCTTGCAGTTTAGTGACTTTCAAACTTCAGTGTGCCTAAGAATCATTTTGGAGCCTTGTTAAAAATGTATATTGCTGGTTCTTTTCCTCAGAGATACTAACTCAAAAGATATGGGCTGGGCCTAGAAGCCTAAATGTTATCAGGTATTTCAGGTAATTCTGGTGCAGACTGTTGTCAGGAATCACTTGATGAAGGTTTAAGGCAGGACACAGACTTTATGATCAGATTGGTCATGTACTGGTTCCCCAGTTACTATCTGTGTGATGAAATGAGTTTCTAGTTCCTGGACTCACAGAGTCTCACTTTCCTTATTTGTAAATTCCTACTTTATAGAATTATTGGGAAGATGTATGGAAGGTACTTAGCAAAGGGCCTCATCTGGAGTAGAAACTCATTAAGCGAGTGTCTTTGTTAGTATTAAAAAGCAAATCTGGACCAACTTTACTACTTTGTGCCATCCAGTTGGGAAATGTTCAAAGTAGGAGTCTGGGGATAATTGAAGAGTCTAGGAGGAATGGACTTATGATGAAAGGCAGGAATGATTCAGCATTTACATCTGTAAAAAGTTAAAAGGTTTAGAGTGGTTGTGGGAAGAGACATAGCTGAAGGGCACAGAGAAGACATCCCTGACCAAAATGCCGGAATAAGATGATTAGCGTATTTGATGCAACTAAAGAAAGGAAAGGGAAATTGCAACAGTCTTCCTAACAATTGGCAGGGAGGGTTATGGTCATCCTGATATGTGGGAAGGAACAGTAATTTAAAAAAAAATGTTAAAATACCATTTCAACAAGAGCAAAAAAAAAAAAAAAAAAGCTGTTCTTTGTTGATAAATTAAAAAGAAAAATAAACAAACAGACAAACAACCACCCTAGGGAACTTTGTCTCCAAAGAGCAAAGAAACAACAAATTGAGGACCTGGTAAGGAATGGGGATCATCAGATTAGAGATACACATCCTGGGATTATTGTTATTTTTCAAATGTCATGCAGTTAGAATGAAAATAATGAACTATATCTGTTTGTCATAACATTTTAGTGGTCTTATTAATTTATAATATAATTAAACAAAAAATTATTATTTTATTTTTTTTCAAAATTTTTTTATTGCATTATTTTTTACTGTACTATTTTTAGCACTTTATTCACAAACTTTTATATAGTGCTTGAGTAAGGAGTTTCTGAACAATGGAAATAATCACTATTTTTGTAAAAGCTTATACAGTATGTGGTGTATGAGGCAATAAAAGTAAATTAAAAAATCATTAAAAGTGAATTATTGGAAAAATAATTTACCTTTGTGAATTGCTTGAACCCTAAAGCAGAGGATCGGATAGTCTTTTATTGAAACAGGAAAACCCATATGGCCCTAACCTACCTGGAAATCTTTAAGCAATGTGCCAGTATGGAGAACCAATCTAAAGCTGCCAAAAGCCAATCGGAAAGTCTCCTCATCTTATTTCCCCAAATCCCACCCACTAGAAAATCCCACCTTAACAGAACACTGACCAATCAAAGACTTTCTTAAAATATTCTCCTTTTGCTCTATAAAATTTACTCTCCTTTCAAGCCCCTTCCAGTCTACCAGAACTAAACAGATAGTAGCTGACTCTTTACTAGCGTTAGCTCTGAATAAACAGCATTTGATTAATTCTGTATGTGGTTTTCAACCTTCTGACAATTTTAATAAGGATTAATTTTTAGTATTCCTTATTCACAGCCATATACTGTGATAATGTATCACTCGAGATCACAGAACCTGTGTCACATCATGGTCCCCATACACGTAGAGACACATCACAAAACATATACACGATTTTTTTCAGCAAGCAGCTTCCCCCATAGAAGCAGAATATACAATCCTTCAGTGTTTTAGCAAAAATAACTCCAGAGAAAGTACCTTTATGTTGGAACATTTGGTTCATTCTGGATGACAGTGTCATAACTTCACTGAATCGTCAGTTTTTTCCCAGTTTACTGCTATTGGCCTACCTCTTGCCAACCTCTTCTGCCGGGTGATGGACATGATCCATCTTCATACCTCTATTGTCTGTCAGTTTTGAAGAAGTGGGGAAAGACCAGGAGATGGGACAGGAGCAAGTGTCAGCTGTGAGAATGGAAAAAGGTATAGTTAAATACAGAGTGAAACAAAAATCAAATAATGATTTGTAACTAAGCAGGTTAATGCTTGCCTGACACATTCTAATGCTTTGTAAATACTTTAAAATAAATAAATTCGTCATTAATAAGAAGCGTATACGTTCTTAGTCCTCAAATTAAGTTCATTCCTCTCCCACCCATGATTATAACATGAAACAGGTAGTGGGTGGGATTGAGGGTACTTTCAGAGCCAATCTCACCTATAAATGAGTCAGATAGTTAATGTGGTTTGGTAGATTCCTAAAAGTCTATTCCTCCAGAACTTCTCCCATACTCAATGGCCATGGTGACTAAAACTTTTAGCACTGGAGGGATTTACTTTTAGAGAATCCTGGTGAATTGATTATATCTAATTTAGGAGCCATTTAGAATTCTCAATAAGGTATCTGGAAACGATGACACATTGTTATGTTATTATCCATTAATCCTTAATATTGACTTGTTTATAGGATTGAGAGTTTCAAAGGACATGATTCTGAGGGAATGGGAGTAATTATTCAAACAGGGACAGGAGTCATAAGAGCTGTAGGTAAGAGAGGGACACAAAATTTACTCATGCTGAAATTTTGGATAGGGTTGTGGAAAAGTATTTCTCTATGTTGTTAATTACATGCAGTTGGATCTCTTCTTTCAATTTCCCTTCCCTCCTCTCCTCTCCTCTTCCCTCCCCTCCCTTTCTTTCTTCCTTCTCTCTTTCATTTTACATTTAATTAAAGTAAAATCTTACAATTGAAGATCCTGTTAAGGGGTAAAATTGAAATGCCTAATCGGTATGATTTAGCATTCATTAATCACATAGATCAAAATATTGATAGTTTTAAGAACATTGGCAGACCTCACTGGGGAGAATGTAAAATGGGATAGTTGCCCAGCTCACCTCTGGAGAAAAGGTTTAGCATAAACATGACCTGAGAGGATGAGCAAGTCCCACCCAGATCACAGCAGGCCTGACTGCAGTCTTATTACATGGCCAGCTGACTTGTCTGGGACCTAGGGAGCTACCCATTAAATGAGGTCAGCAGTTGTGAAGAAAAGAAAGCTTGCAAAGGAAAATACCTCAAGTACTGAGCCTAGGGTGTATGCCGGGAATCAAAATAATGTAAGGGGATTTATTAACAACAGCTAATGCTTATTGAGCACTTACACGATTTCAGGTACTGTTCTAAGGATTTACATGTTCTAACTCATTTATTTGTTCCAACAACCCTATTAGGTAAGTATTAATTTTACCCCCTGTTATGGATGAGAACCTCATCAATATTAACAATAGAGCAACGACCCTTCTTGTGCGTGTCTCATGGTGGTCCGTCCAAGAGTTTCTTTAGGGTACCTACTTAGGAGGGGAAGTGCTGGATCAAAGAGAATGCACATCTTCTCCTCACTAGATAAGACCAAATTGTTTTCCAAATAGATTGCACCATTTTACCCTCCCAGTAACACATGAAATCTCCCAATTTCTTTATGTGGTCAGGCTTTCAAACTTTTGCCAATTTGAGGGGTGTGAAATTGTATCTTATTCAACTTTGGATTTCTCTGATTACTAATGCTTTATCATATTTTCATATGTTTATTGGCCATTCTGGTTTCCTTTTCTAGGAATTTACTCTTTTTATTCTTTCCTCATTTTTATCGTTGTACTTTTTTATTGATCACATGTGATTATACGCTTTGGCTACTAATTTTCTGCTGGTTATATGTAGTGCAAATATCCTTTCCAAGACTTCCTCCCTCCCTTCCTTCCTCTTTTCCTCTCTCTTACTCTCTTTTCCTCATAGCGTTTTTTGATGTACATCAGTTTTACATTTTAATATGGTCAATTTATCAATCTTTTCCTCAATGGTTTATTCTTCCCATCCTGAAGGCCTAAAGATATTTTCCAGTATATGGTAACCTCATCTTCATCATGTCCTAAGTTCTCAAATATTCTGTTTCTGGGCTTTCTTTCTGATCTATTTTTCTTCTTTTTATCTTAAATCCCTGAGACAATATCACATCGTCTCAATTACTTTATAGTTAGCCAAGAGATCACAAGGGTGATTCTCCATACCTTATTATTCTTCTTCAGTATTGTATTTCTTTATCTTGAATCTTACTATTTTTCTTCAATATTATATTTAGTATTCTTGGGTCTTTGCTTATTCTTATACATTTGATAAAAAGTTTTGTTAACTTCAATAAACTGACCTTCTGTGAGTTTGGATGTAACTGAATGATTTAATAGATTAATTTGGGGGTGTAGATTTCCATTTATTTAGATCTTCTTCAGTGTTTTCCAATAATATTTTATCTTTTTTTTTCATGACATCTTTTGTTAGATTTATCTCTGGTATCTTATTGCTGTTATAAATGGAAACTTTAAAAAATTTCATTTTCTAGCTGTTTGCTATTGGTGTATGGGAGTATGATTGATTTTCTGCATTGATTGTTACATTGACCATGCATCTAGCAACATTACTAAAATCTCTGATTAATTGTAGTTATTTGGCTATCAGTTCTCTTGTGAAAATAGCACTTTTATTTTACCTTTCATATATGTGTGTATACATATATATATATTAAAAGCACACACACATATATATATATAACATATATGTAGATATCATAATCTAAATAAACATATACATATCTATGTATCTATAACCTATATACCTATCATCTATCAACTATTATCCATCTTCTTATTCTTGTCTTACAGAGCTAGCTAGGTTTTCCAATACAATATTATATGGCATTATTGATGGAGCGTACTTCCAGTGTTTCACTCTTTAGTGTCATCCTCGCTTTAGGCAAAGAGGAAATTTCATCCTACTTTTGGATAGGCTAGGTTAGGCTGTAATAACAAATGATCTTAACATTTCAGTGGCTTTCAAAGAAAAGTTTATGTCTGGTTCACACTTTTTCTCCATTATAGGTCAGCTGTGACTCTGCTTCCATCACCTTATGCCAGGTAAAATGATAATGGAGTTGCCTCTGTAATATTACCAGTTACATGGTAAACATTGTCTTGGCTCCTAAAGCTTCTGCCTGGGAGGGGCAGGACACATCTCTTATGCTTATATTTCATTGACCAAAGGATGTCTAATGGCCATGCCTGATTTAAATAGGTTGGGAATATACAATCCTCCCTTAGTGGGAGGGTATCATAAAGAGAGGCTGCAAATATTTTGAACACTAGTATAATTGCTCACAGTGGGTAGAGTCAACTGCTTTAATACCTATGTCTATTTAAGTTTTATAAAGACTTTTGTCCACAGTTTAAAACTTATGGAGTTATTTTATTCTCCCCCCTTTCTCTTTTTCTAAACCCAAAAAAGAATTTATGAATAAACGAGTAAACTTTCCTAAGTCTAAAAAGTCTTGTTTAAATAATCAACATCTTTCTTCACTTAGTTAAAAAGCTTTTGGGGTGAGAATCCTTATTCTCTGAAGCTAACTTGTTGGCATTCTTCTGTGTCTTGGGTCTGCTTATAACTGTTGTGATAGACACAGGAGAGCTAAAAAAATGCATACATTTTTTCTTGATATAAAACCTATGCCCCTGGGCTTCCCTGGTGGCACAGTGGTTAAGAATCCACCTGCCAATGCAGGAGACACGGGTTCGAGCCCTGGTCTGGGAAGATCCCACATGCCACGGAGCAGCTAAGCCCGTGAGCCACAACTACTGAGCTCACATGCCACAACTACTGAAGCCTGTGCACCTAGAGCCTGTGCTCTGCAACAAGAGAAGTCACCGCAATGAGAAGCCCACACACTGCAACGAAGAGTAGCCGCCGCTCACCACAGCTAGAGAAAGCCCGCACACAGCAATGAAGACCCAATGCAGCCAAAAATAAATAAATTTTAAAAATAAATAAAATAAACAGACAAACAAATCTGTGCCCCTGAGATTTTTCATACGAGGGTACTGGATATTAGAATATTGTCTTCCATGATTGACATTGTCTTAGGGGACAGCATTAGGGAATCCATAATGGTTTGAGATTATGATTGATTGTCTGTATTTTAGGAAATAATATATTTTTTAAAAGATAGGAAAATCAAAAGGGAAATATTGGAAGACTCATTTGTCAAATATTATAGATTATCACTATGGAATGTGAATTAGTATAGTAATGGGAAGGTATATGTGTGCGTGTGTGCCTGTGTGTGTATATGTGTGAAGAGAAGAAAGTTAGAGAAGAGATTGTAATAGCTGCCATAAAAACCTTTTACGCAAGTTTTCTGCTGTGTCAGACTTGAGAAGAGTACAGTCTGCTTCCATGGTGTTCCTGGGCATGAACGTCAGTTGAACAGCCCAGGACTCTGAGGTACTCTGGCTGAGTAGAGAACCTCAGTATGCTTGCATCTCAAAGACTGAGATCAGAGTTTTTTACACTCTTTTTTCTCATCTATTTTACTTTTTCCTTCTTTTGCGTAAGTAACCCAGGGCCAAATCATTTAGTCATATGTATTATATTAGATTTCTAAAACTGTACACTCATTTTGAGCACTTACCTTAAAAGTTTTACCTATTTTCAAAAATAATATTTCAAATATTTTAAATATAAAAACTTCTTTAGTTTTCAAACAGCATTACGTGAAAACTAAAAAAGTAACTGAAGGCATAGGTAGAAAGATTCTTGGAATGGGGATCAGAATGCTTGAATCCAGACTCTTAATAAGCTTCTTTCTAGTTTTGGGACTTAGGTAAATAGTGTAACCTCTCTGGGTCCCCTTATTCCCAGTGGTTAAAATAAGGGGGTGGGAACAGGTAAAATTCATTGAGTAGTTTTTCACTAGGGTTTCTAAAATAACTTCTCTTATTGCATGTATTCTCTTCAAGATAGGTCAACCTCCTTCAACACAAGAATGAGGAAGTAGGTGGCAAAGAGAAAAGGGTCTATTCTTATAATTAAAGTTAAAATATTTTTGGAACAGCTAGCACAAGTCTGTAATTCCTTAGCTAAGCATATAAGTTCTTCCATTGACTGACTGCTGCCTGTCTCTTCAATGTTACCATCTTTTCTCATGCCAAGCTAGTATACCTATAACTTTTCCAGATAAACCGCATTGTTTCATGCTCTCAAGACTTAATACACACTATTTTCTCTGCTTTGAATGCTCCTCTTTATCTTATCTGTCTTATGAGTCCTTAGTTAATATTCAATTTAACAGCTCAAACCTTCTCAATCACCTTCATGAGCCATGTTTGCTAGTTTCTTTTGTACCATAAGTGTTGCCTAGTATATCCACTTATCATGTCCTTCATAGTGGACTTATCTGTTTGTTGAAAAGGAGAATAGATAAAATCCTAACACAACACTTGGCACGTAAGTTGTACCCAATAAATGTTGGTCATTATTATTGGGATTATTGTTCATCTGTCCTCTGAGCTCCTTGAGGATAGAAACTATATATGGTTTATTTTTACATTGCTAACAACACATTAAGAGTCTGGTACATTATAGGTGCTCAAAACACGTTTGTTAAATTAATTAGGAAATCTTTAGGAAAAAGTCTCTCCTTTAATTCATTAGCCTGTTCATTATTTTGAATTCTTATTTTTATACTTAAAATTTCAATTTGAAAAGGAAATTATTAAGATCCATGTTTTACTTCTAGATTCACATAAAAATGGTTTCCACAGGCTTCAATTAGAGAAAATATATCTGTTACTTGGTTAAAATGAATGGCATTCCCATAACAAGATGATTTCTGATGCCAAATGTCTTTCCAAAGGCTTTTTGTTTTTTTCAACATGATATTAGTTTTTTATTGCTGTGTAACAATTTACCACAAACAGTGGCTTAAAACAATAGTCGTGTATTATTTCATTACATAACTTACTGTTATATAAGTCAAAAACCAGGTGGGCTCAGCTAGTTACTCTAGTCTCACAAGGCTGAAATTAAAGGGGCAAATACTGTAGGCTTTTATCTGGTGGCTTTATTGGAGAGGCAATGTGCTTCCAGGCTTATTCAGGTTTTAACAGCGAGGGCTGCTGGTTGGAGGTGGTTCTCAGCTTCTAGAGAGGTTATCTGCATGCCTTGGCTCATACCTATTCCATCTTCAAAGTCAACCAAGGCATGTTGAATCCTTCTCCTGACTTTCTCTTCTCCCACCAGCTAGAAAAGTTCTCTTCTTTTATGGTTAGATTAGATTACATTAGGACTTGTGTGATCCCCCTATTTTAAGGTCAATCATGCTCTACAATATTATATAATCATCGGAGTGATAATAATATCATATTCACAGATTCTGGGGATTAGAACAAGACATCTTTGGATGACCATAGTTTTATCTACCCAGTCTGCTGCCCCCCTCCAAAGATTCATATCCATTTCACATGTAAAATACATTCAACCCATTTCAAGATCCCTACAAGCCTCATTCCAACACAACATCATCTCAAAATTCAAAATCTCGTCATCTAAAGCAACTGAATCAGTGCAGATGAGGCTCCTGTGCACAATTTCTATCATCTGTGGACTGTGATATTAAATAAACATCTAATCTGCTTCAAACAGAAACTGGTGGGACATCAAGAAGATAATAGTTACAGACAGTATGGCTCAAAATGGGAGAAAAGGAAAATAAAAGGGAGTTTCTATTCCAAAGAAGTTTTGAAATCCATCTGGGCAGACTCCCTTAGGTTTCAAACCCTGGGAACAGTTCTCTGTGGCTCTCAGCTCTCCCCACTGAGCTCTCAGTTCTACTCTCTGGGCTCTAGGCCCACTTCCTGCCAATGGAATTTCAGGGGTCCAATAACCTTTCATTTTGTAATTTTTTTTCCTTTTTCTTTTTCTGGTCTATGCTAGCAGTATTTCTGTTGACATAGATTTCTCAAGAAACTTGTGCATCTCCCTTGGCACAGGGATTCATCTCAATAGACAGATCTCAAGTCCATAACACATTTTGAGATAATCTTTTCCCTATCTTTGGCTTCTGTTGAAATGGCTGATGGAGAGTACCCTTAAGCTTCCTAGAAACTCCCTGTTTTAAGAGGATCTGTGAAGCAAACCCTTAATCTCTTGAGACTTAATATTCTGACTTTCTGGTCTTTCCAAAAATTGAGCAAATGGGTGCCCAGACACACTCAGCTTTTTCTCTGTGCTTCACTTTCAGAAACAATCTCTTAATTTTAGCAGTTTTTGCCATAAGGATAGGCTGAGGATTTCCCAGAGCAAGTCCTGGTTCCTTTTTGTTTACTGTTCTTTCATCAATTTTTCTCTCTCCTCTCACATTTTACTATAAGCAGCAGGTAAAAAACCAGGCAGCACCTCCAACACTTTGCTTGGAAATCTACTTACCTAAATAATTAAGTTTATCATTTAGAAGTTCTGCTTTCCACATAAATTCAGGACAAAATTCTGCTAATCTTTATGCCACAGTATGATATTGATCCTCTTTCCATAGTTTTCAATAACATGTTCCATGCTTCATTCTGAGCTGTCCCCAGTCTATGTACTTGACATCCATGGTTCAACTAACAGTTTATTCATGGCAGTCTAGGCTTCCTCTACAGTGCTCCTTAAGGTTCTCCTTAAGGTTCTTTCAGCCTCTACTCACTGCCTAATTCCAGAGCCACTCCCATATTTTGTGTATTTGTTCTGGGAGCACCCCACTCCTGACACCAACGTCTGTATTAGTTCTCTATTTCTGTGAAACAGATTACCACATATAAAACAGCTTAGAGCAACACAAATTTATTAGCTTACAGTTTTGTAGATCAGAAAGCCAATGTGCTGAATTTTCTGCTTAGGGTCTCCAAAGGCTGAAATCAAGATGTTGTCTTGATGGGCTGTATCTGGGGGATCTGGAGAAGAATCTGCTTCCAACTCATTCCTGTTGTTGGCAGAATCAGTTCCTTGGAGTTGTAGGACTGAAGTTCCTGTTTCCTTGCTGACTGCTAGCTGGGGGTGGCTTTCTGCTCCTAGAGGTTCCTTGCATTCTTTCTCTTATGTCCCCATCCATCTTCAAACCAGCAATGGTGTATTGAATACTTCTCAGGCTTTGAGTCTATCTGACTTCCTCTTCTGCTTTTCTCTTCTGCTTTTGAAGGGCTCATGTAATTAGATCATCTCTCTCCTGCAAATAATTTTTGTATCTTCAGATCAGCAGACTTAAGACTTTAATTACATCTGCAAAATTCCTTCAGAACAGTACCTAGTTTGGTATTTTATTGAATACACAGGAGTTGAGAACTTTGGGTGGGCATTTTTAGACTTTTTTTTAAATCAATTTGAAATCAAGATATGCAACACTTTTTTTTAGTACAGTGTTTGAAATATATATTAAACAGTATTTTATATTCTACAACTTCTTTAATGATGATAAGCATTCCATATTACTCTTTGGACATGTAATTAACACTCCTATTTAAAGAAAAATTGCTACCTTATTAATAGGTTTCCCTGAATTTGACTAACATCATCAGTGATTTCAAAGTTTTGGCCTAATTATAGATCTTTGTGATCCTCTAATGTATATGTGTTTCTATCATAGTGTAAGACAACACAGAGGATCACATTTTTAAATCAGACCAACAAATTAAAAATCTTACAATAGTCACACAACTCAATTGTGGCCAATGATTTGAAAGTGGAAGTGAGGCTTCTGGGAGAATTCTTTCCAAAGAGCCAGATTTAGCTGGTATATGTCTTTTTGCCCTTCTTCCTGACTAGACTGTGGATGAGTTCCAGTTGTGGAGCATGCATCTTATGACCACAAAGCCATCCCGACAGAAGGATCCAGAGGAATGCAGAGACTTGAGAGCTGATATTCTTGAGCTGCTGAACTAACACCAACAACAACTTATCTCTGGACATCTCATGATGTGAGAAAAACACAACACATTATTTGTTTACACCACCTTTTTGGGGGGTTTGTATGACTTGGCTGCAATTTTTAACTGACATAGTTGTTCAGAGTAGTGCCTAGAGAAGATACAGCCGTAGAGGAGGAAAGTACATAAATCCTTCAACCTGTCAAAATACTTGATTTATCTCTCTCATGACATTTGTGTGCCACTGTTGTGTAAATGAAAATCTAATCTCCTGTACTGGTCTAAAAACTCATAAAAGGATATCCATCCTTTGTCTCCACCACATGTTAGCTTAGTTAAGTTCACCCTAAATATTTGTTGAATGACATCAATAAGGGTAAAGATGCCTCCAATTTAGACTCTTGCAGCTTGACGTGTAAAAAATATTTTTATTATGAGAAGAGAATAGGAGAAAAAATAAACCCTGATAAAGGGGAAATAGGAAAATCTCCTAATGTGACTTTGCAGAGAGCATTCCAGAAAACTAACAATCATCATCCTCATCAACATCACCGAAGAGTGTATTCAGGTAAGAGAAGGCGTAATCAAGGAAAATATAAAAGATCGGCATGGAATTGTAAGAAGTATGTCAAGAATCTTGAAGAAAATATTCATGACAAGCAAGATGGGGAATGCTTTTAAGTTATATTCCGGGTAAGGCCTGCTTGACCTGTGTTGTGTGATTTTCACAGATGACTGTAAAAAGGGGAAATTCTTATTTTTATTCTGTGCTGAGTAGCATAATTTTCAAATTGGAAAAATGTAGCAAGATTTTTTCCTTTCTGGGTGCTTTATTTCCACTTCTCACATTTATTAGAGACGCCTATACTTAAAAAATAGATTAGATTATAAAAGAGTTAGATTTATAAAGGAGTCCCTAACTTCTATAAAATATCATCTCCAGATTGGGAGAAATTTTGTTATAACTTTAGTGACTAAAATACATACTTGGATATCACTTATTATTAGTTGATTATTTTATTCTTACAACAAATTTTTTGAGACCCTACCTGGGAATATAGCAATAAACAGCTAGATCTGTTTTTTCATTCCCTGAAATTAATGTTTTCTGGGGAAGATAGGCACCAAAGGGATAAGAATGATGAGGTGTGAGCACTCTTAGGATGAGGAAATATGGAAGTGATGGAAAATTTGAGCAGGGAGAAACTTATCCTAGCCCTGGTATTGTGAAATAATGGGAAGATAGGAAAAAGACCAGAGAATGTTTGGTTTAAATCTGGTGGAATAATGATCTGTGCCTCCCAAAAGTGTCTCTTGGTTTTGAATTTAAAAACTGTTATCAAGATTCTGGAATTTCCCTGTTTGGCAGATTTTTATATTCTACATTGTAAGCTAAAACACTAAATTTAAAAATTTAAAATACCTACATGTGGTATTCATGGATTCATGAAATTGTCAGGATTAAATACCATGTTATAAGCCAAATGAGTGGTAATTACAGAGAATATATTTTTGTTTCCTTAATTTCTCTTTCTTTTCTAAGCTATTCCATTTATAAAAATAAAGAAAACAACAAAACAAAAAAGAAAAAGCCAGACAAAACCAACCCAATTTCATGTAAAATAAGTTATTATGATATTTTTCCTTGCTGTGGAACACTATAAATATAACTACTTTCAAATTTCAGAAGGGCTTCAATCTGTAAAAATCTCAATTGACAATATTATTGTCAATTTAATAAAGCCAGAATGTTGCATATGTGTTTTTTTCCATTTCAAAATTAAATATCCTTTATATGCAAAACATCCTTCACAACGTTTTCCTCACATGCTACTCCCGTGATTAGTATTAGCTTATGCTTTATAGCGCACTCAGTATCTTAAGCCACAGCTAGGTTAATTGTGAACTGGTTAATTTCCAGAGAAAGATGGACTTTTTAAACAAATCTCAGGCATATGCATTATTAACCTGAAGAGAAACATTTGCTTAGGATGCTTCAACAACACTGGAAGGGATAGGAGAGGATGGAGGAGGAAGGAAGAAGGGAAAGGGAAAGGAAAAGACAGGTGAAAGAACAATTTTATTGAATAATACTGATTGTGGAGTTTTATTGAATGGCCCAAGTGATGGAAAAATGGTCTAGGCCAGTGTTTCTCAGCTGGTGTTTGTTCAGTTCATTTGGGACCTTTTAAAGATGCAGATTCTGATTTGTAGTACAGAAGTGATGCCTGAGATGGTTTATTTTTTAACAAACTTCCACAAGTTTCTGGTCTATGGATTAGCCGGGCTCTAGATCTGTGGTTCTGAGCATTGGCTCACATGAGAAACACCTGACAAAATAGAAAAATCCTGATGCTCAGGTCGCACCCCTGAACCATTAATCTAGAATCTTTGGTACTGAGACCCAGGTTTCAGTGTTTAAAAAATTTCCCTGTGGATATACCAATATGCAGCCAGGCTTGAGAAACCACTGGTCAGAAGATTATTGTCCCTCATCATTGGCAAGAGCTGGTGGATTCACTCCAGTGGTACTTTAGAATCACTCATAAACTGAAAGTCAAATTACTCTATTACAACAGACTGCAGCTGAGAAAACAAAACATGCACCACACTATTTAAATAAAAACCCAGCTCACATAGGATATGTTTGGCTGCATAGACCCTCAGAAATGTTATTGTTTCTGTCCTTGCACAATTTTGCTATTGAGTTCCTGCATATAAGCACATCTTGGGAATAGTGGTTGAAATAGAAAAATAAGCCATTTAGTTTCTCCCTGCATGAGACTGGAGTGATTGGAAGGCCGATTTCTTCACATCAACTTGCCAGATCTCAGGGATGGCAGGATTTCAGGGAATGGATCTTTGAGTGATGGTTCTAACTTATCCTGGTCCATTTCCTACAATGTGAGTTTCTTCCCAATATAGTACTTCTGATAACTAGAATTACCCCTATTTCCCACATATACAGAAAAGTATCAATCTTAATTTTTAATGTATCATTGATTCTTAGAATTGTTTTCCTTTGCTCAAACTAACTGCATCAGTTAATGTTCTTAACTGAAAGCAATTGAAAAGGAGTCTGGGTGAATTAAAAGAAAAGGAGTTCATTTAAAAGGATAATGAGAACCTCACAGGCCTGTTGGAGATTTGAAGAACCAGACTCAAGGCTAAATGGCCAGGAAAAATGCCCAAACCACACTGTAGAACTGTCTGAAGGGAAACTGCTTCTGCTGCTGCTGCTGCTAGATGTTAGAATTTTCCCTGCTGCAATTTTGCACCAGGAACACACTTCAATCGCTTTGTGGCTGAGAGGTGGATGCACTCTCACTTCCACCCTCACTAGAAAACCATGCTGTATAGTTCCTCACATTGCTCACTAAGGTCTCCTGCTGGAATGTCTGATTGAGTTTCAGGATTGCTCCTAACTGCAGGTGTATTTTCTACCTTGGAGAGGCAGGAGTTAAACAGTGGGAAATTCCTCATACAAAGGAAGGGGCAATAAAGAAACACTACTACCTACCATCCTTCCTAGAGTCCTCCTTTTGTAATTCAAGTCAGTATAGGGAACAGTGCAGTTTTATTGCACTTCAATCAGCATTTATTCAGTTCTGCTGCATACTCAAGATGTAAACAAGACAAAAATAAATTGGTGTAGAAGTGCTTACAGTTTGTTAGGAAAAGTTTTGAATGGATTATTTTAATATAATATTGTAAAACGTAATGGGTTGAAATATATTCAGAAGAGGAGACCTTAACGCCACAAACTGAGTGTTAAGCAGGAGAAAATAATAGACCATTTTAAAGCTCATTTGCCTTGACTTAAATCAGGTACAGTGAAATAGCTAATATAGTATTGCATTATATTTGTGTTTTTCTGTAATAGTCTCACCAAATGTTATATAAACTCTTCAAGGGAAAATATCTATCTTTTAAATTTACTTTTTATAGTATCTAGCATGTAACTAGGCACATAGTAAGTGCCCAAGTGTTTTTACTGATTTGAATTATTTTGGGAAATGTACAGTCTAAATACTCTCAAACATATCCAACTATACTGTGTAAATAATATTGTGGAATAAAATATTATTTTAAATCATTTGCTGCTTGACCATCTGAATTATAATTAACAGTTGATGGACTGGCAACTGAAAGATTGTTATAGTTTTCAGGGGATTAAGCCTTTCTCACTCAAGCTATACTGAGACAAGATTCATGTGAGAATAGATTTTTAAAAAATTGACATTAACAGTTGTCATGATATGAATTACTCTACACTTCATTATTAGTTTTTAAATATTTATTT